ATTCATCCCCCCATAGTAATTCATCCCCCCCATAGTAATTCATCCCCCCTATAGTAATTCATCCCCCCTATAGTAATTCATCCCCCCTATAGTAATTCATCCCCCCTATAGTAATTCATCCCCCCTATAGTAATTCATCCCCCATAGTAATTCATCCCCCATATAGTAATTCATCCCCCACATAGTAATTCATCCCCCATAGTAATTCATCCCCCCTATAGTAATTCATCCCCCATAGTACTATTCCCCCCCAAGTAGTAAGCCAAGTCCCCCCTGTGTCAATTCACTTACCTTTGCTCCGCGCGTTCCTCTCGCCGTGTTCCCGCGCCGTTCCGGTCTTCAGGGCGGACTGTGAGAGGAGAGGAGTTCATCACGCTGCCCCGCCTACATCCTGGCTGCCCCGCCTACATCCTGACAGCCAATGTTCCACACTCCGCGGGCCGGATTAAAAGGTCCGCCGGGCCGCTGCAGAGTCCTGACTTTTGAGGCGGCCGCCCGAGAGGAGGGAGGGGAGCGGGCGCCCGGCACACAGAAGAGCCGCATGTGGCTCGCGATACGCGGGTTGCCGACCACTGAAACACTATTGCCTGTCACGTGGTGGGCAGTGTGCTCTGGAGCCGCAGCAAAGATGAAAAAGAGCCACATGCGGCTCTGGAGCCGCGGGTTGCCGACACCCGCTCTAATCTTTCCTCATAGCTGATCTCCTCCATGCCTCTTATCAGTTTGGTTGCCTTTTTCTGTACTTTCTCAAGTTCCCCAATGTTCTTTTTGTGAATTGGTGCCCAAAACTGAACAGTTCAGTTCTAAAACCTGCTATATATGACCTCAGAGCACTTTGGTTAGTGTATACAGCCATGAGACTCAGAAGCAAATCAACTATAGCATGCTTTTAACAAAAAAATGGTGTATATATGAGATCTGGTTTGTAATGTGCTTGCCTTGAATATAAAATAATGCAACACATGCCAATTTAAAAGCACATAGAAAGTGCAGACTGCTTCAGAAGATTCAATTTTAGATTTAAATACTCTGTAAAGATCTTTTTAAACTGCTTCACTTAAGGAAGGAACAAAAGGAAAAAAAAGCTTGTGTACACAAGTCTTTTCATTGAAGGTAAAGCCCTCTTTAACTGAACATGTCAGTTTGGCAATTACCTGTCACAGGTGCTGGACACCATCATTGCACAACTCTTGGGAGTGGTATGGTATGCATATTGTTATACAGACCAGTTCACATAAAGTGACGATCATGGAGGCGACTCTAGTGAGTTTTATAGTAACTGATATGATCGGTTGCATTTAGGGTTTTGAGTGCTTGTACACTTTTACAATTGTTAGATTTGAGCAGGGACCTTTGTAATACCCTTCTTTTTAACCCACTGCTTATTCCTAGGATTGTAACAGATGGAGGCCAAAATTTTATTTGCACTAGTAGTTGTTTTGAGGCGTGCGTGTGTAAACGTTCACAGTGAAAAATAAAAAGTGAATCTCTGTTTGAAATATAGCAACTGTTATTGTTGAGCTGCATGTCCTGTAAGCTTTCTGTATGTGCCACTGGTTTTGGGAAAAAAGTTAGTGAGTACTGCAGTCAAAGCATACATTGATGTCCTTTTTTTTTTTTTTCTTTTTTTTTTTCTCTGAATGCAGTCCTGCATTAAATTTTGAGTTAGAAATCAGGACACACAAAACTGAGCAAGTTACTAATATTTTATCTAGTGCTTGTATCCAGACCTTTGCAGGCTATTGAAATGCCCTTGCTGGAGGACTATGATGAGGTTGCTCACATTAAGTTTAAGGCTGGCCATACATTATACAATTTTCTTGAGATTTTTGCTTTAGATTTACCAAAAACCATATAATATGAGGTCAAACCTAAACAGCACTTTCAATTGTGTCCAATTAAGCAGGCCCTAGTACTACATAGTTGAAGGTAAATCTAAAGGAAATTGGACAGAAAATTGTATAGTGTATGTCCAGCCTTAGTCCTCATGCACACTGGACGTTTCCACTGTTGCTGTTTTTGGCTTTTGCCGTTTTTTTTTCTACAGCTAGTAAACCCCCCCAGCATGTTAGCACACACAGACTGTAATCAACGTTTGTTGGCTGGATAAAAAACCCAGGACTAGTGGGTTTCTAGAGGAGTTTTTAGCTGTAAAAACACAGTAAAAAATGCGGAAAACCTGCGTTTTTGGACATAAAAAAAAAAAACCACAAGTGCAGAATAACGGCGCAAAACGCTAATGCAAAAACGCTAAAAAATTTCACGTTTTAACGTGACTTTATTACAGCTACTATAACCAGTGTTATCAAAATGTCCAGTTTGCATGAGGACTCATACTTGGAGCTTCAGCAATGAAAAATAGTATTCCATAAAAATTTAATCTTCTGAAGCAGTCTGCACTTTCTATGTGCTTTTAAATTGGCATGTGTTGCATTATTTTATATTCAAGGCAAGCACATTACAAACCAGATCTCATATATACACCATTTTTTGTTAAAAGCATGCTATAGTTGATTTGCTTCTGAGTCTCATGGCTGTATACACTAACCAAAGTGTTCTGAGGTCATATATAGCAGGTTTTAGAACTGAACTGTTCAGTTTCCGCAGCGCTCTACATATATATTGTACATTCACATCAGTCCCTAACTCTCTAGGGTCGTACAATCTACAGTATATAGATTCATAGATCCCCTGCTGATCAGAGCAGCTTTCATTCCATGTGGTATTGGCCTTAATTGTTGAAGAAAATAACCATAGATGACAAAAGTATAAACAAAAATTGTTTCTTGCTTAAAAATGGACATAAGCAGAATGGACCTAAATGAATGATTTGTGTCTACATCTGCTCAGATCGGTCTAAAACGAAAAAAAAAAAAAATGGACCTGAACGGACACAGATTTAGGCAGATGTAAACAGATTATAAATAATAAATCATTATTCGTGATATAAATATATGTGGATGAAGCGCTGTGAATGGCGCAGTAAAAAGAAAATAATTTTGACTGTGAAAGTCTTAAAACAAGGAGTGTTCATAGAATGGTGAAAGCGTGACACATTCGAGTCAGCATACAGTGTTGAAAACAGGTCCTGTTGTGCAGATGGTGTCAACTTATTTCAATTGATATTCTGTGTGGTTTTATCCATGCGGGAGATTAATAAAAATGCGCATTCACCAGATGCACATAAAGCGCAGTTTGTTGTAGGGTGTACTACAACCGGGAATCAGCAGGAAGCCCCCTTTAAACAGACCAGACAGTGTGTGATAGGATCCCTCCTCTGGGCATGAGACTTCTCTGCAACCACAAATCCACAGGGGTCCTGGGATCATTAGCTTTTGTTCTCTGTAGAAACAGATGATTGTTTCACCATGTCCAAAAAAGGCAGAGACATAAGTTTACATCAGTTTTCATGCATGCTGCAATGACTTTTAAACATGTTGCAGATTCCTGTGCAGAAAAAAAAATCTGCATGTGATACTGGTGTTGTGGTGTGAACAGGGCACATAGAGAACAATTGATTTTGTTGTACCCTTGCAGAATGCGTGCAGAAAAACTGACGTCTCTAGACTATGGTGTGAACGAGGTCTAACTCTTTTTGGAAATACCTTTAAAATGGAACTAAACCCACCAATTTAACCATTTTTCAAAACGGTTGCATTGAATTATGACTGTTTGGGTACTTTCACACAAGCGTCATCAGTTCAGTCATGTTTTTTTATAAAAAAAAAAAACAGATTCAGGTTACATCAGATTGCAGTTCTGTTAAGCTCAATCTACATCCCTTTTTGCATCCCTATTTTTAGTTGTTGAAGAAACTAATCATAAGTGCCTCTTAGATTGTAAGTTCCAAGGAGCCCTCTTGTATTGAACTGTATTGCTGCTGTATTGTCTCCCGTTATATTTAAAGCGTTGCGCAACCTGTTGGCGCTATATAAATCCTGTATAATAATAATAGGTGACAAAAGTATAAAGAAAAATGAGGTTTCTTGCCTAAAAACAGTCATAAATGGAATGGAGAACATCTTGGACAAGATCCATCCAAACCAGGGTTGGAAACTGCGGCCCTCTAGGTGTTGTGGAATTCTGTGTCCTTGAGTCATTGTAAGACTGATCCTCGCATGGCTCCCAGAGGCTTGATGGGACTTTTAGCTCCACAACAGCCATGCCACAGTAGGCCCACCAGTGTTTTAAACAAAACAGGACACATCCATGTTCTGTTAAAAAAAAAAAAAAAAAAAAAAAAGGTGCAGCTGAGCATGGTAGCCAGTTGGCTTCTAACTTCAGCTTTTTCAATTAAGCTTTGACAATAAAACCTGGAAGCTGATTGGTGTTTGTGCAGAGCTGCACCATATTTTGCACTCTCCGGTTTTAGTAAATCAACCCCACGTTGTGGTTCACTGAACACCTTTCCAATGAAAGGGCCCTTACAATTGCTAGTGTGCTTATGTTCTCAACCGAACTGCCATGAAATGGCTGGTGTCATAGCTGTATTACTTTCGCATAAGGTATGACATGCATTACCTCTATACATGACCATTCCCATCAAAGTATTACTATGGCCTAGAGATAATGCAGAGAAAGGTAAAATACTGTAGTTAAAATGAAAAAAAAAACTTCTTTCGGCATAATATGGTGTCATAGCTGATAAAAAGTGCCGCACCGTGGCAACTGCAGGTCAGATAAGAGAGGATAAAATGACATCTTACTTGGCTGTAAAGGATAGAAGGGATAATTTCTGCTTTAAGTTCAGAAATAAATAAGCAACAAAATTACTTTGTACATCATGGATTCTGATTAGTTATTAGGAGTCACTTGTACTTAATTTGTTGTGTTTGCCAAGTAATTGCTTCCATTCTTATTTCCGATCTTCCACTGCACAACTAGGTGTGGGTGATAGCTGCTGCTGAGTTTTGATTGAAATTACAAAATTTTATCTAGATGTGGAATGATTTTGCTTAGCATAGTTGCATTCTAAATTTGTGTTATTTTTTTTTTTGTAGTGCCTAAACCACAGATGAAATTCAACATTCAAAATATGTGTCCTATTGAAGGTGAAGGAAACATAGCCCGTTTCCTGTTCTCCCTCTTAGGCAACTCTTATAGTGCTGTTACAGCCACACTAATTGACAGCTGGGTGGACACCGCCATCTTCCAACTCAGAGAAGGCAGCAGTAAGGAGAAAGCAGCTGTTTTGCGAGCCTTGAATTCTGCACTAGGCAAGGCTCCCTGGCTGGTGGGAAATGAACTGACCATTGCAGACATCGTCAGTTGGTGCGCCATTCAACAGTCTGGTAACTCGACGGCAATTCCAGCAAATGTGGAGAAGTGGATGAAGTCCTGTGAAAACCTCACATCCTTCCATTCAGTGCTAAACTTATTAAAGTAACGGTCTTAACAAAAGCTTTGTGGATGAGCACCGTGAGTTAGAGCAGGTCCCTAAAAAAAAAAAAAAAAAAAAAAAAAAAAAACATGCAAGCAGTTATTAATTGGTAATATTCTATGGAGATCCTTCCTAAGAGCATGTCACCTTTTTAAAGGCACCCTGAAAATGGCCGTTTTATACAAAAAATGGTTCAGCGGAAAAAGAATAAAATAATTTTACACCTTTTTGTTTTGTTTTTTGTCTACTTTCAATGAACTATTAATACGAATAAGAGGGTTGTTAAAAAATGTACTCTGGGAGGGATAAAAAAAAACTATTTCAGGCAGCATGTGAAAATGCAGGGAGATTTTAATGTTCTCCATTAAAATGTGTCAAATACAGAAGGTCCACTCAGTTCACATTCATGTGAATGCCATATTATTCCTTGCAGTATAAGTGTAGCCAGAATGTCTTTGCAGCTGAAGGAGCACTTTAGCCTGTAACACCAGGCTGACACTCCAGATCAAGGTAATGTGAACTGCATCAGTCAGGTGCAGAAAACCTCGAAAATCTGAGCTGGTGGCTCAAAAACAGCCGCTCTAGATGAAGACTGTTGGGATTCTGAATCAACGATGGCAAAAAGACCTTCAAGGTTGTCAAAGACCGACTCTGCCCAACACAGTACTCAGATGTGGTTAGAGCACCTGCTACAGTAATAGGGCAGAAACAGTTCAGAGTGCACATGGGGGAGTCTGGATGTGGGGAGGCCTTGGTCCTGCCCAACGAAGCTGCAGGAGAGTTCAATATTACACTGTACTACAACACTAGGGATCTCAGATACTAGATCAGTGTTTAACCTTTTTCTCTGTCAAGGCACCCTTTAAAATTCTGCACAATCTTGAGACAACCCGTTCTAAAATGTAAAAAACTAAACTCATAGTTTTACATAATTCAGCAACCTCTACAAATGTAGGTCACCCAACTTTAAAGAAGATTATTCTTCCAAAGCCAATACATCTTTGCACTCTGGTACGGACTAGTATTGCAATGTTTCTTTCACTCATTCAGCTAATGTGACCCCAGTGCTGGCGGAGAGGGGCAGGGAAGGGGCAAACAAGGATGCTGGGCAGGCGCCCGACATCCTCCTTATCAACCAATGATATCATTGGTTGTTGGGATGCCATCAGCTGGAAGGTTTTAATGGTGTACAAAGAAAGCCTGTGGCTTTGTGCAACTAAAAGGGAGGCTTGATCCATCCACTGGCTTATGTACAATATTTTGGCAATTTTTAGAGCAAGGCACCCTGGTTGAAAAAAAACACAAAAAACCTGTACTAGATTACAGGCGTTGGTGCCTTTGGGGACTGCCAGATAAATGCCCCCAAAACCACACAGAGAACATGGGCTGAGACCACCTAGGACATCAGAATTGGTCTCTCTTTGTCTTTGGAAAGACACGTAGCATTGCATGGAAGTAAACTAGGCCTGAAATGAAGCAAGGCCTTGAGTACTTACAAACCCAGCCAGCTGGTGCTGATATGGGCTTCAGATACCTGAAAATGACAAGGCAATGAGACCAGAGAGTTACATGATGCTTTCTGTTAGGTTAAATAGCAGGAAAGAATGCGTACTGTACTCCCCCTAGTGAATGATGTCCGTGCTCAGCCTTAAAGTGGTTACATATATCCAGTGAAGTGACTGGCATCAGGTGACACACAGGGATAAAAAAAAAAAAAAAAAAAAAAAACCCCACCGACATAAATTGTACATGTTTATCTGTCCTGTCTTCTGTATAGCTGTTCAAAGTCCAGAATTTAAAAAGCTGTTTGAGAAATCAGAAAAAATGGGGTGGGGAGCTGAAATTACACACTGAATAGCTCAGTGAGGAGAGCTCTGAGAGCTGATTGGATGGAAGGGACACACACTCCTTCACACAGTACACTGCAACAGAGCTGAGGCTGTCTGTGTGCTGGAGCTCCCTCCCCTTCAACTTTTTTCTCTTGGTGTCAGAAGCAATTCATGCAGATAGCAGAGGAATGGGCAACAGACAAAAATAACACTCAGTGCTCTGGATATACAAGTACACACTATAGAGCGATATTCGTTCATATTTGATGTCTGTGGTTTACAACCACTTTAAAGCATAATTGAAGCCACATTACAACAGACTGCAAGTAGGCAGGCTAATATCGAGATATGTAATGGGGTTGATTTACTAAAGGCAAATAGACTGCACTTTGCAAGTGAAGTTGCTTCAGGGCTTCTTAAATGAGGGGGAAGCTCAGTTGACTTCCATCCAATCATGTGCAAGCAAAAGTGCTGTTTTTTTTTTTTTTCTTTGCAAGTGATTGGGTATTCTTTATAAAGTGAAGCTTTTACCTCAGGAGCAACTGCACTTGCAAAGTGCACAGTCTATTGCCTTTAGTAAATCACCCCCACTGCCTCTTCTGCAATGCAATTCTGCCTGCTTGCAGTCTTCTGTGGCAAGTAAACTGAGCTGCGCATGCACAGTGCAGGCGCAATCCCTGTGTTTCAGCATGCCTTATTCCATGCACAGGAGACTTGACATTCCATGCCAGCCAGTGGAGGTGCCTGAAGAGTGGCACCCAGGGGGAAGATTCTGGCAAGGGACTTGGACCATTAGAGAAGAGGTAAGCATGTGCCTTCAGTTCCACTTTAAAGTAGATGTCCAGATTTTAGTAAAGTTTAAATGGTTCACTTGCACCAAGCTGGTTCAAACAAAGTGTTACCTTTACTAACATGCAGTGGCTAGTTTGTCCCTTGTGATAGCAATAAAGTAGAAAAAAAAATGTAGAGTGTAAAAAAAAAAAAATGTAAACAATGAATAGCCAGGAGTGCAGGGGAAATGGAAAAAAAAGAGAATCTGGGCTGCTCTGTGAAAAACCATACATAGAGCCTTATAATTCATTTTATATATATATATATATAAATGTTATTTTATTAACCCTTTGGTTCTGGGGGGAGATTTAGAGTCATGTGACCACCGTGATTGGCTGTTTAACAGCCACATGATCAGAAAGCTCCCGACCACAAGTAGTGATTGGGTCCTTTCCGTGAGGTACCAGGGAATGTGCTGGGAGCACGCAGCATGCAAGCTCTGGCACATTCTTTGTTTACACTTAGTATGCAAATATGTGGCCCCTCAGAGCCAAGACCCAGCTGCCAAGAGGCTGCATATTTGCATTTACTCGGCGCCTAGTACAATACATTTTTAACCACTTGAGTTCCAGAGGATTTACCCCCCTTAATGACCAGGCCTCTTTTTGCTACTCGGCGCTGCACTAATTCAACTGATAATTGCGCGGTCATGCAATGCTGCACCCAAACAAAATTTATGTCCTTTTTTTCACACAAATAGAGCTTTCTTTCGGTGTAATTTGATCACCTGTGCGCTTTTTATTTTTCACGCTATAAACACAAAAAAAGGGCAAAAATTTTGAAGAAAAACAATATTTTTTATTTTCAGCTATAAAAAATATATAGTAAACTCAAAGTTGGTTATACATTTAGGCCAAAAATGTATTCTGCTACATGTTTTTGGTAAAAAAAATCCCAATAAGTGTATATTGATTGCTTTGTGTGGAAGTTATAGCGTCTACAAACTATGGTATAAAATACTGCAATTTACGCCATTTTTTTGCTATACAGCGCTGCGCTAGTTTAACGGACAATTGCGCGGTCATGCAACATGGTACATAAATGAAATTTACATCCTTTTTTCCCCACAAATTGAGCTTTCTTTCGGTGGTATTTGATCGCCTGTGCGGTTTTTATTTTTTGCGCTATAAAAAAAAAAGGCTGACAATTTTGAGGAAAAAAAAACTATATTTTGGACTTTTTGCTATAAAACATGTCCAGTAAAAAACAAATGCAAAAATCAAATTTAGTCATAAATTTCTGCCAAAATGCATTCTGCGACATGTCTTTGTTAAAAAAAAAAAACCCAATACGTGTAAATTAAATGGTTTACGTGAAAGTTAGAGCGTTTACAAATGGCAGGAAAGATACTGGGATTTTTAGGTTTTTTTTTATACTAATAATGGCGGCGATCAGCGAATTATGGCGGCGATCAGGGACTTATGGCAGCGACTTATGGCGAAACTGCGGGACTGACATTGGGGGGTACTGACTTGGGGTCACTGACATCCCCAAAAACACTAATACAGTGATCAGTGCAAAAAAAAAAAACTGACACTGTACTAATGGCAATGGGGAGGAAGGGGTTAACTTTATATTGCAGGGAAGGGTTATCTGAGTGAGGGGAGTTTTTTACTAGGGGGCGGGGCGGTGAGTACTGGGCGGGACAAGGCTGATTGAGAAAGAGAAACTGTTCTTTCTCGATCAGCTCATCCTCGAGCTGAGAAGGAAGTGACAGACAGCACAGCTAATGCAGCTGTGCTCTCTGTCACTGTTTGGCGCCGATCGCCGGGACATAGCCGCTAAGGAGCGGCTGTGACCCGGCGACTGACATCTGCGGCGGTGATCCGCGGGACAAATAGGGCGGCGGCGCACCTCGCACGCGCCCCCTATTTGTTTACAAAACACACGTCTTAAAACGTGGTTTTGCCTGTGAGTGCCGCCCTGCCGCCGTATATGTACAGTGGCTGGGCAGCATGCGGTTAAAGCTTTATCATCACTTTAAGGCTCCATGTACACGGGACACTTCTGACCGATGGAAACTGATTGCTGGAAAATATAGGTTAAAAAACGTCTGTTTAGCTGCATTTGCATACCGCGTTTATGAGCGTTTGCGTTTAGAAGCGTTTTTTTTTAAATATAACCTCAGGAGACCTTCCAAAATGCCCAACATGCACTGAAAAACAGTAAAAAAGTAACTATTTCAGACATTTTGAGAGAACTAGAGAGAGCAGAAGCAGAGAGAGCAGTATGTGTTGAGATTACCTGTCTTTTTTTTATGGTGTATGGATGTGTTCCAGCTCATTTCTGTGCAGAAATTATTGCAGCAGTGTCTAACATTTTATTTTATGCAAAACCTCAAAGTAT